GCACCGATCCATCATCCGTATCAGTAGTAATATTGAAAAATAAAAATTCTAGACTGGTCCATAAGGTCAGATCTATTCATTCTAATTCTAAGCTTTGGGCTCTGATATGTCTTGCTTTCTTCTTTATTTTATCATATTTAGAATTCCTAATTGCACTTTGTGAACCATTTGAAAGGTTTGCTGTGGTTTATTTTAACATGTTTGATCAACGTAGCCACCCTTTTGATTTTGTCATTTTCCTTATCATTTATCTCACATTGTCTTTTCTACTCCTAACTGCACTGGCTGAACAAATTAAAGTTGTTTATCCATGTTTCACCAGGCTTGAGGAGTGGCTGTACTGGTGCAGAATTATCAAATACTTTTGTGAATCCAGTACATTTATGTCTGTGTTTTTTTTTAAAAGCGTTTCAAGTCAATTCAACACTGTTTTTCTGTATCTCTATCGGATATCAGCATCAAAAGTGCAAAAAAGTGCATCTTTAGTAAAAATCCCAATAAAGTCAATTGATGTTTGTGATCATAGAATAATAATAATGCATCTGGAAAAGTTCCCAAAGGTGTGAATACTTAGGCAAGGCGCTGTATTTTTATGCTGAATTAGGCCACTTGTTGCATGAGTACTTAAGTATTCGGAGCCATAACTGCAGCCCTCTATAGTATCCCTGAGCTGGTAGTGATGCAGTTTATCAGTGGAGGGAATCAGCAGCTAGTCGTCTTGACAGAATGATCTAGCTGCAGCTCTGCCTGGCCTCTTCTCCGCTGTTGCCCACACATTTGGAGTGGGCCGTGCCAGAGAATGTTGCAGAAAACCGAGCAACGTTGCAGCACAGACTATAACAGGAGATTTTTTTTTTTGTATGGTTCTTCCTGTTTCAAACCCTCACAAGGCTTTACCGGTTATCTCTGCTGAGAGACATGGTCGCGGTACCTCCCTCTTTTTCCTCTGCTGCAGTGCACTTACTTACACGGGGGTCTCGCTCAGGACGAGCTATCAGTCTCCAATCACTACCATCATCTCTTGTGATACACGTATGAACACCCCCCGCCCCCTCCCGTCACACTCCCTCCATCATCTTCAACACTCCGGCCTTGCAGCGGCAAACAGCCGGTGACTAAAATTATACAGATGTCTTTGCAAAAGCTCCAACTCAGTAATCAAAAAGGGAGAAGCTACTGTCATCTTTGAGGGAAAATATATATAATAAACTAAACTAAAAGCACCGGAGCAGCAGGGTGTCTTACTTGCTTTCCCCGGTCGAGGCCTCTGTAGCAGCTTCTGCACGGTGAGAAGGTCCTCGGTCTTCACCGCCTGCAGCAGTTCCTGGTCCTTCCCCATCTTCCGCTCGGAGCCGCTCTACTCCCGCAGCATCCTTCAAGCACAGCGGCGCTTCAGCCTCAGCCTCGGCAGGCGGAGGGTACGTGTTCCCGCGGCCACGGACAAGCCTCCCTCTGACCCCCCCCCCCCCCCCCCCCCCGCACCAGAGGAAACCCCCCCCCCCCCCCCCCCACAACCACACCACACAAAAACACACTTAGATCTCTAGCATATGATGGGGCGAAAATGAGCCGGAAACGAGAGGAAGAGAGGGAGGGATAGACTCCGCGGGATGGAGGGATGCTCTCGGATTCCCCTCCCCACCTCCAGCGCCTCCACGACAGCACCACCCCCGCCTCTAGGTGCAGCGCTGCTGGATGGAGCCTGGACCTGACGCCGCCGGGCCGTTCAAGGTTCCAGCGTGATATTTCGCCGATTTCGAAAAAGAAGGCTCGCTTATCCTGGAGTCTGGTAATTGCTCTCACCTCCCCCCCAAAAAACGCCGCCTTCACCAACCGAGCGGCCGGGAGGAGACGTGAGATGTAGCGAGAAGCCTCACGGGCTCCGAGTCACCGCGCGTGAAGAAAGACCGTGCGTTCCAAAGGCGGGCGCGCGCGGAGTTCTTCCCTCTGGAGGCTGTGACAGTCTCGTGCTCCAGGTCGTAAACACAATCCAGCGGTGCCGCCGCCGCCGCAGCAGCAGCCATCGCGTCTCCAAGTGAGCTCGAAGTCTCTGTGATTTTCGCTCCTCTTTTTTTTTTTTTTTGCGCGAGGGGGGCGGCGGGGCAGGAATAGTGAAAGGGCCACGTTCACGCGCTCGTGTGCTCTACAGTTTGCTCGGCTCGTACCGTTAAATGGCTCGTGTGCGGCAACTCGGGGGCGGACCAGAAGCGTGGTGCTCCCTCTCCCGCCTCTCCTTTCATCTCCCTCTCTGGCTCGCTCGCGCGTTCTCTCTCTCTGGATGTTTCTGTGGCGCTTTGTGGCTCTTCCTCTACAGAAGAGAAGAGCTGCTCAGATATGTTCTAGAAAAACAAACTTGTTTATCACCTGCGGTTAGCTTCCCTTTAGCTCACTTATATCATTGAATTTCCTAAAAAAAATAAAAAAAAAATGAAATTAGCATTTTCATTTGCTGCTACTGTAAAGGGCTTATCCACTGCTTTTAAGGGCGATGACTACATTTGTTCAGGTCTATTTTATTCTTTTTTGAAAGAAATTATAGACACTCAAGTTAGCATGCGATACTCAACACAGAGCAAAAATCAAAATTTTGGTAAATAATTAACTATGAAAATGAAATTGCCTAGAATTTTGTTAGGGAGACCAAAATTATATTAAATCATTCTACATTTTAAATTCAGCTACAGATATAAAATCTTTATTAATTTCCACAAGTTATGTTTTAAGTTATCTCTGTTGTGTGTATGAAACAATAGTTCAGACTTGATTGGTCTAAAAAAGTTAAATAAAATAATAATAATGTAAAAAGAGATTTTTTTGCTTGTTTTTTGAGTCTTCATATTGCACCCTCCCCACAGCAGATGGTTCCCCTGGGTGGAGAACCATATCACATATACTGAAAAATTTCACTGGTTAAAATCACAACACTTGTCAGACTTGTCAAACCAGCAAAAATAACTCTGCATTAAATAAATATTATAGAACATACTTTATCATTGAAAAACTTCACTCTAATGTAAAAAGCATAAAAAAGGACAATTACAACATTATTTAACTGCATTACCCTAACTACATTATATGGTTTTTACAAAGAAAGGTTTGGAGCCATGTCACCTGCAGCACATGGCAGATTTATAAGTTTTTCTTGAGCAATCCCTCATTTATTAACATTTTCCTCATCAGTGCAATGATCAATGTTTTTAATAGCATCTGAAAGTCTCTGGATATTCTCATCATTTTTCATTCTGTTTCTGAAACACTACAATTTTCATTTTTAACTTATGACCAAAAAACATGTCTCATTGTTATTCTTCAGTTTTTTGCAGCTCTGGTAACAAAATATGTACAAAAGTCTTAAAGTAGAGTAAATTGTTATTCAATCTAAATACACTTCGAATTCAACTTTGTATTATTCCCAAAGGGAAAATTAAATGTTGCTGTAATTCACCCTTTCCAAGGTTGACAGATCTCCTGTAGCAGTATGTATTACAGTGGCTCTGAAGAAGTCTCTGACTCTCAGACCACGGGATACCACTTTTTGCTGCAGTTTTATAACAGTGACTTTTATTTTTCCTCGTTCTTTTCTTTCTTGTTTGATAGCAAGAAAAAGAACAAAAACATGGATCCTTGTCTATCTATGTTTCCTCAAACTGAATCTTGTCAACTTCTTTTCAATGGCACATCACTGTTGACAGATGAAAAATATGTCTGTCATGACTTGATTCTTCCAACATTTCCAGCAACCCTTCACCTTTAATCCCAAACTTCCATGTATGTTGTGCTAAAGCTAATCAGAGGGACAGGGGCATGTAATGTACTCCGTTCAGTAAAACCTGTGTTTTCTCTCTGTCTCTCCTCCAGTTTTATAACTCCATTCTCCTCTTCATTGTGTGTGTGGGCAGTGTGCAGGGCTTGGATGCTGCTCCCTGCCTCCTCCGCATATCCACTGAGTTATGTAAGAACAGTGAAGAGTAGCCCATACTTTAGGAATATTTATAAATCGGTCTAATCAAAAAGACGTTCTCTACACTGAAGCTGTGTTAACTGTGCCTCGCTATTATTGTTTTTCTCCCAATTTTGTTGCAGAACAACTGCAAAATTTTGTTTTATTGTTGTGTGTGTGGCAAGTCAACACCTAGTAGAGGATAATTGAGAAGTGAGAGGAAAATAATACATGGATTTTGAACTTTTTTGTAAATAAAAAAGAAGGTGATGTACATTTGCATGCAGTCCCATTTAGCCGGTACTACGTGGCTATGTAGCTAATAGCTCAACCTCAGTCACACTGGATGGAGAGTGCATGAGAAGAACATTTTTCACCGCATAATAAAATGACGGGAGACTCTGAAGACTAATAAACAGAGGAGCAATTTGGTCATATGATGGTAATTTCGAAGCTGTTTCTCGTAAAGAGAAAAAACCCCTTCGAAGAACTCATGACAGCGACACAATTTCACATAATTTAACTGTTTCGTTAGAGCTTCATTAAACGAGATGGTTTAAAATTTCTACAACAACACACTGCCCTCTAGCGGCCAAGCCAAAACATAGCGTCCCGGAATGAACCTCTAGTGTTGGCACTAAGCTGCAAATTTTTTGTCTTGCTTTTGATTCATAAACAGAGTGGATAACACATAAGCATTCCAATAAAACTGCTTCTGTGTAGCTATATCAATGTAGCAAATTTTTCTGACACCCCTAAAAAAGCTTCCAGAAGTTGTCAGATGTTTATGGACTGGCTGCAAAACGCCTGTTGTGGTGCCTAACATATTATTATTATTGCCATTATTAATAAAAAAATAATAATACAAAAAAATAGTGAGGAGAGTTAAGGTAAATTTAAGTACGTTTTAAGGACTTTTTTGACATAAAAAAAACTAGCTGGACTTGCCACTTACAATATGGCGGATGCGTTAACGTTTTGTCTCTACCGTACGTTTAAGCCAATGAGGCCTCTTCAAACGCCTCTCTACGCCCATGTTTTGATTGGCTAGCGAGTATGTCCATCAAAGACACCGAACGTCACGAAGTCAGACCGTCGGACTACGAACAGGTTGAAAAGCCCCAGAGGCTCGTAGCTATATTCAAATACTGCTGGTTGCAGGTTGTGACCGTATCTGATACACAAGCTGGTGAGGAACTCTGTTTTGGTTTCTTTCCTCATTTTTTATTTGTTTATTTTTTATTTTTTGTTCTTCCCTATTCTCGGTGGTTCCTGTTAGCCTCTCAGACAGACCCGCTGCTCTCCGACGCATGAAAAATCACTTCACGGATTCGGGAGCTTTGCCTCGGTAGAATTATTTTTAGCCAGATCTCGCGTTGGTTCTCGTGCGCTAATGTTGGCTAGTCGCTATCCTATATTGCTAAAGTCGGAAAATTTTTTTTTTCAGTTGCAAGTTTGGATTAATAACTCAATTTGCTAACATGTGCTAGTCTTCTCAGAGGGATGTTAGAACACATCCTCCATTAATCTGTTATTCTGCTAAAATAAATTGAATAGACGAATTTTGTTGTTCAGTTAGCATAGCAACGTGAAGCTAACGTCGTGACCGTGTTGATAGTAGGATGAAAGATTCCCCACCGCGCCTAACATGCTCACAATTCTCATTATGAACTGTAGTTTCAACTAAAAGCAGCAGTAAATCCCCTCTGTATGTTTATTGAAACCATTTCTTGTTTGAACAGTTACGGCGGTCATTTTTCTGCACGTTTTCTGGTTGTAGCCTAGCATTTTCTTTTCTTGTTGTAAAGGCATTTATTACAGCCATTAACACTATGTACTCCTATAAGCATTCTAATACCGTCAGAAAGCATTACTGGCTTTTCAGACTACTGTAAATATTTAATTATACATAATCGGGGTGCACGTGCAGTTTTAACAAGACACCAATGTGTAATAGATTTTCACCATTTAAAACGTTGTCATAAATGGTCTACCATGGCACAAATTGTTTACATATATTTTATTGTAAACCCTATAGTGCAGTTTTAACTCAATTTGGCACTCAAATTGCACAGGCTAGAAAAAAAATCGCATGTGGTCACACTAAATTAGTTCTGTAATATATCTACTTGGAAATATTGTCATACAGGTTATTAGAATTTACTGAATTAACTTTGCTTTTTATCTTAATGTAAACCCAACTTATTTGCAGTTTTAAACTTTAAACAATAAGCCATTATTTCCACTATTTACAAAAGCATGAACAAGGAATGATATTCTGGATATGTTTCTGTTTTCAGTTTGGATTCTTGGAACTGTAGCTTAAAAATAGTTAAAAGCAAACAAACAAACTGTTCTCCATTTGTTTGAGGGGATGGAACAGCCAGTCACAAGATTGGATAATAAACTCAAACCAGAGACTCGCAGACTCACATTATTGTTTAAATTCTCCATAATTTTCAATATTATCACAGTTTTGTTATAATCTGTATATTAAAATGTATATTACTTCAAGCTGACGCTATAATCCACTATGAGTAGAGTGAGTAGCTTTAATCAATTGTCCTGGACCAAAAATTACTATTATTACTTCGAGTAGTTGTACTGAATTGTTGATATTTTCATTTAGTTATATTTTATAACTACTTTTATATGTAGTTATATCTTTTGATATTACCCTAACTTTTCTGAGAAAAGCCTTAATATTCCTTCCAGGTGTGACTTTTGCTCTTTATTTAGTAAATGTCTGTCTACTTTATGATTCTCATTCTATTTCACATAGGGATGCTCCGATCAGGTTTTTTGCTGCCGATTCCGATCACCCATGAGGGCCGATCACTGCCGATCATCTGGATTTACTGTTAATTTTTTTGCTTTAGGTGTAAATGCTACTATGTGATCTGGCAATATTAAAAATATTATCTGGCAATAAATTCAGCTTATTTATACATAAACTTACAAAATATTTGCAGGCACAATACAGCAGCTACTCAGTCAAAAGGACAACTGAAAAATATGCAATCAGTAAAATAATATTCAATAATAAGGCTCTCAGTACTCTAAATTATACATGAGTCAAATGAATCTGTCTATATCAAATAAGGTCAATTAAAAAAGGAAACATTCATTCAAAGTTAAATGCAGGCTGCATCAAAATAAACAATCATGAGTTACTAAATCCAAACTTCCTGAGAGCATGGCTGATTAATGCTGGTTCTGATTGGTTGTTTCCGACTGAGCTGAGTAATTCTGCAGAACACAGGAGGAGGCAGAGGAGATTGATTATTTTTCAGAGATTATCTGTTTTATGACCAGAACTAGTGTCTTACTCCGCTAGCTTGATGACTTAAATAATTTTTCGGGTTATTTGTTTAGCTTTCTGACCCTCATGGTCTTCCAGGTGAGTGTTGGTAGTTGTGCACAGCTTTACCTGCTGTCTGACCGCTCCTGATGTCATTTTTTCCTGCAGTGAGTCTCGATGTAACCAAACTCTGTCAAGTGTTTGTTTTTTAAATGCCATATTATATTCGTTGTGTTGATGCATTTTGACGTGCTTCACCCCTGAAGTATTTTTCCGTCGCAACATGCAAACGTCCCCATTCACTCACAGCGTTAAAGTTCCACACGACAGGATTTGTTGCTGTGTGAAGGAAAGGGGAGACCAGCTGCACATGCAGGCTGAGAAGTGAGATACAGATGATCGGTTTGTGTGATCGGCTGCAAGAGAAAGTGATCGGCAATCACCGATCATACACTTTTTCACGGAAATCGGCCGATTATGATCGACGGTCGATCGACTGGCACACCTCTAATTTCAACCTGTAAATGCTGAGAAATTATCTCAATTTATTGGCTTCAGGCTCCCAGGGTAAATGGGGTCAAGTCTAACAGGGTCGCACTGATCACTCGGGTGCTTTTACGATATTTTTGAAAAATTTGTATGTGGTTCAGTCTGACAGGACGCGCTGACTGTGGGAGGCTGAAACACAGATGTTGCTCTCTCCTGCCGCTGAAAGTGGAAGTTGTTATAATCACAGTGTTCTTAACCACACATTTTCCCTTTGTCCTAAAAAAATATTTTAGGGAAAAAAATTTTTTTCCCCTCTAAAAAACCCCCAACAACCTCATGTTTTGGTTGTTTTCATGTCTGTCTCAGAACATAAACCATTTCAAATTTATAACCAGGTAGCGTGAGACTAAACAATCGAGAAATTCCGGCAAAAGGTTCCTGATGTGGGAATATAGCTCTGTATTCCCACATTGAAGTGGATGGATGGTGCTAAACATGTCCAAATGGATGAATTTTCCACTCTATTTTTAATTTACCTCTGTTTTTACGGTTCCTATTTACAGTGAACTTTTAACTGGAACTGGCTTTATTTAAAAATCGTGTTTTTGTTTATTGTCGTATTTTCCACCTTTCTCATACATCCTGCTGGGAGAATTCCTGTTAGCCGATGGGAACTTCTTGGGACTTTAAGAATGAAAAGAAGCGAAAGTTCTTTGTAGTATAAGAGAATCATGCTTTTACTGAGTGTTTTCCTCTGCTAAATTGACACGAATTTTGGTTTAAAAAAATCCTGAAATATACAGAACTATAACCGTGATCCACTCGTCTCGCCTCAGTCCATCCCAAACGCGTTTCCTGTTTCCTCTCGTGGTCTGTCGGATAAACCCTGGAGGAAGTAACCGCTCATCCGTCTGCCCTGCAGGAAGGTCTCAGCGCAGCGTGGGTGCCCAGGGATCCACTGCCTGAGTGTGGCGAGAGCGGCGGCCGAGGCCCCAGAGACATGAACCACACCAAGGGCGGTTTGGTGATCTTCACCGCCAACTCGCACCCGTCGAGTCGCGAGCTGGGCAAGAGGATCGCTGAGTGAGTATAGGAGGGTCTGCTGATGTTGCCGGTATCTCAGTGTGAACAGAGTGCAGGAGTTCCTCACGACTCGGTCTGCTTTTATCTGCTACATAGAAGGTGAAAGTGTTGGTTAAACTTCTCGTGCTGATGTGAAACGAGAGCAGAAAATGGTTGGATGTTCCAGATCTCTGTGTCAGTGCAGTCCTGCTGACGAGGACGCTAACTTTAAGACCTACTTAAATTTAACCACATCTCTGTGTACGGAGGGGAAATGGTATTACTTTGATAACTTTTCATTTGCCGATGTGTCCAGTAGGAATGCAACCAACAATTATTAATTCTAACGATTAATTAGATACAAAGTGAACTTTCAGCAGATCTTTTTCTTTTAACCACTTAGGCTTATTTTATACAATCTTAGGAATCCATAAGATACAAATGCTTACATTTTTAAATGTGAAAATAAACATTTTATATCCTGAAATGGAATAACAGCTTTTAGTGAACACTTCCTCGTTTGTGTCAAGTGAAGCTAAAACTGCCACATTAGAAGTTTGATGTACAATAGAGTTACAGGAAAATTATCTTTTTTTTATTGCAAAATCTATTTTTTTTTTCACTATTTTGACTTAATTGCTGCTCTAAGGGTGTCGTTGTTTCACCTTTTGTTTGAATCGGTGTCCTCCAGCTAATGATTAATCGATGGCTAAATTAGTTGATACTTATTTTAAGAATCGGTTCATCACAATTAATTAGATTAATTGTTTCATCTTTGTTGTCCAGGCTTGTAGTGTTTGGAAGTTTTACACATTTTTATGTCTGAAATGAAAAATATGTAACAAAAAACAATTTTTCTGAATCTTTGGGCATCAGCTGGTAGATTGCCAGAGGTTGTGACTAGATTCTGCACACTGTCGACTTTAGTTTTAAAAGTGAGATTTTGATTATCTAAATATTGTGACATCACTGTTAAAAGTGACCTCTGTCTGCCCTGGATGTCTTTTTAGAGCTGTATTCCTGAGGTAAAATGAAATATCGGCTCTGATTTCCTTCATTTCAGGAGATCGGTGTTCGACCAAATATAGAAACTGATCTTCTCCTCCTCTGGAAAATCAGCCACTTTACTCTTAACAAAAGTCATCACACTGTTACTAACTTAGCAACATAAAAAATAGTCATCGGTCAAAATTGGTCCAGTCAGGCAGACCGGAGATCGGCCAGAAAGCTGCGGTGTTTGCTTCCTGACTGTGTCTAACACAGTCGACTCGTGATCTCCCAGGTCTCAGAACACCAAACCGTGTCGTTGAGCTTCTGTACAGTTGTTTGTCTTGGACACTGTGGAGGTTCCTCCACCTTTTCCTCAGTGTTAGTATTTATTTAAATGTTTTCATATAATATATTTAGATTTTCACTTTTTTTTTGGTGGGTTTTCTTTGGTGGTGGTTATTGCATTGGGTTGTTTACTAATTTGGGTGCACACATTTAGTAAATGCCTTATGCTTATTTAAGATCATTAATTATGTTGATTGCTGAGTTTAAGGACTGGCTGACAGAAGGGGGTTGGCTGAAAGGAAAACAAGGAAGTGGAAAAGTCCATCAGGCTGCTGGAAGCAGGGGACGTGATGTGGAAAAAATCTGCCTCTCTCCACTAATGGCATAATTGTTAAAACCTTTTTTGTGTTAGGTTATTTGGGTTTATAGTGGTGTTTAAGTCAAAGTGTTTTAGTTTAATTTAGTCATTTATGTTTATATATTATTTGTCTTTGTCCCTACCCCTCCTCGTTTGTGTAGGCTAGCCTGTTTGTATAAATTCCCCTGTGTGTTCATTGTGTGAGGGCAGTTGTTGGTTTGTTATCTTGAGTTAGGTTTGCCTTAGTTGATTTCTTTTGGGCCCATTTTGTTATATTTTTTTAGATTGGTTGTTGAATCCTTTTGTTAAGATGTTTTTGGGAAAAATAAATAGAAGATATTTTTTTTATATATGCCTTTGTCCTTGTCCTTGACTGGTTGGACCATCACAGACACGTTACGTTTGGAAATGTTGTGACACTCGCATATTGGCCTGTCATTTTTAACCCAGAACCTGGATTAGGGACAGACTTTAAAAATATCAGAATGTAAACACAGCAGAGAAATAAACCACTGCAGCAGCGTCACAGAGCTAAAGGGAAATCAATCAGAACCAGTCGGAATCGCCGGTCTTACCGTTTGTTTGGCAACACGTCAGGTTACCAACTTTGAGCTCATTTTATGTGTAAATAAAATACAAAGTGCAGATCCCACTTTGCAGACACAAGCTACAACCTGTGACTATATAAAGACACGTTTAGAGGAAATGAACAGCTTGGCCTGCTGGTGCTAAACTGCAGCACTTGAATTCAGCATGTTAACAAACCGAAAACATGTCCTCTGAGAAATGTCACTTTCTTTCTTTTTCTTAACTTTTTTTTCAGTGCTTTGAAAATGTGTATTTGCTAAACTTTTCCATATTTAGTCATGGACTATTATATGTGTTAGACTAAAGTCAACATGGTGTTTGATTGTGAAGCTGCAGAAGTTCCTAACTTTTCAGATTTCTCTTTGTGAAATTGTTAAAATCATTTCTCCTTTTCCTTCGGCTTCTGTTAAGCCTTTTATGACATAAAATACATTAAAATATATTTTTAAATTGTTTTAACCTTTGCTTGAAGTTATGATAGTTGGTGTAAATTGTGAAGCAATTTAGTCAACTGCTGCTGTTTTAAATATGCTTTGCTAGTAGATTTGACCTTCACGTATCATTTGATGATCCTCAACTTTTCTGTTTTCCATTTGTTTTCCTCTTCCCAGGCGGTTAGGGGTGGAGCTGGGGAAGGTTCAGGTGTACCAGGAAGCAAACAGAGGTGAGGTGATGACAAACAGGAAGTACCTTCTCCATAACCGTTTACTATAAGACCAGTGTTATTACAGTGTTAAAGATATATGAATATGTACTGACAAACTGTTCCCAGCGATATGTTTGGGAAAATGATCCGTGGGTTTTGTGTAGATGTTGTATTTGAGATCGCCATAGCAGCCAGTAGAAAACGTACAGATTTTAAGAAAGACTGAACAACACTTATTGTGGCTTTTTATTTATTTCTTTTATTTTGTCACATTACAACCACAAACTACAATGTGACAAATGTAAAGTATCACTTATGTTGTTGTAGAGAAATTATTTTCAAAATCTTCTACGTCACTATTAATATTTAGTTTGTTTTGAAGATTAATAATGAAATAGTCATTAAATTGTAAGGATGTTTAAAACTCCAAGTTGTTTAATTGTCCATTGAACCTCGTACTAACTGGGTACGAGGTACTAACACACACACTATTGGTGTGTGTGTGTGTGTGTGTGTGTGTGTGTGTGTGTGTGTGTGTGTGTGTGTGTACAGGTAATGATTATTTTAATTATCGATTGATCTGCTATAGTAAATTAATCAAATAATCAGTACTGTTAGTACTGTTTAAAAAAACAGTTTAAATGCTTTTATTTCAAACTTTATCACATTTTTAAGTTGTGGCACCATATTCAAAATTAAGCAGTGATGAAATAAATGTTTTTTTATTTTACCAATAACTACATAATTTATATATTAATAAAATGTGTATTGCTCAAATAAAATAGATTTAGCAAGCAATAAAAAAAGAAAGTTTCTGTGAGGTTTTCTGATTTATTTTACATAAACAAGTGGACTAAGTTACAACACATAATGTTTTTGATAAATTAGTATTGCTCTTTTTGCAAATCAAAACTTGACTGTAGCGTTTGGATTTAATTGTCTATTGCCTCAAAACAAACTATTTTTTAAAGTTAATTTGAAAACCACTAACTCAAAATTAAGGAAAAATTCAGGATTTTCTTTCTGCCATGACAGTTTGGTCTAGATTTCCTTCATTTTGGAAGACTGGCCGATACATGAAAAGCCAATCTTGATTTGTTTCCCCTGCACAACACAAATTTAAAAGACCTACAGGACTTTATTCCAGTTCTGGAGTGCTTGTTTTCTACCTCCGCTCTGGTTGTGAAGAGCTGGATCTGTTTGTCTCAGGATAATACATTGATTTGCCAATTACTGATTCTTAAACTTTGAAACCTTGCGAAACGCTTCCAGAGGTTTTATCTAAGTACCATTGATGCAAGTCGGGGCAAATCAAAAATTGATTAATTGAAGCCACTCTGGTGAAGTCAAAGTACAGTATACGTTTCCGATTTGAAGTCACTGCAGCTCCTAGTTCACTCCGTCGGACCCGATGACAATTTAGTTTTAGCTCCTACAGGAAGGATTCTGTCTCTAATCCCTGGTTTAGTTCTGGAATGCTGGTATGTCCAGTTTTCCACAGCAGTGTGGTAGGCAGATAGGAGAGGGGAGGAGGACAAACCTCACAGGCTTTGTTATGAGATAACACGGTGTGTTTGTGTAGCTGACTGGATTATTTTTATTTTTTTTGTTTTTCCAAATCTCGTCCTTGTTTCCATAGAAACACGGGTACAGATCCAGGAATCGGTGCGAGGCAAAGATGTCTTCATCATCCAGACTGTGTCAAAGTAAGAACCAGAGCGCACACACTTAACCTCAGAAGGCATTTACACCCCTCATGGAGTTTGGTTACAGACTACAATTCTGACATGAAAAAAATCTTATGAATGTTTTTAAAAATACAGAATCATCTGAAAATAAGAGCCAGTACAACACAACTGCAAAGTAGAGCTGATTTTAAAATCACCTGTTTCACTGGGGAGCCTTATTGCAGTCGCACATGCTTTTGCTAACTGATCAAGAGAGACCAGACACAATAGCTGCATTTCCATTGAGCATATAATTGCGTATGTTTACATTTCTAAAATAAATTGGAACACGCCAATTTTGATCTTTTTGACAGTATCAAAATTGGTTCAATTCACAAAACTGCAATGGAAACATTTTTAAAGCATCACATGAGTCACATGATCAATACGAGTGGCGCAAACCACGAAGTAGACGACAGGAAATGGTCGGAGGATGTTGGAGCTCCATGTTTTTTTAATGTCTGTCTGTGATTTTAATTACACAGGTAGTCTTCTCAACATCAGCAAAACTAAGTTTTGTGCACATTTGTGACGGAAATGCAGTGAGTGAAGAAATGCCAAGAAAAAGATCCAAGTGATTTGTTTGCTGACCCATAAATACATTTTTCCCATGACATAAGTGAAATAATCTCAGTTGAATTAGAACTGTTGTCAATATTAAGGATTTATTTACTTTAAACAAGCATCTACATCTTGCTGAAAAGTTACTTGTAAGTTAGTTGTGTCTTATTTCAAATGTACTAAGATATTTGCACTTGAGAAATACTTAATAATAATATTTGTTTTTGCACTGTAGTCCACTGTAGCCATGCTGTGTAACGGAGCACTATGGGTTGTTTGTTTGACCACAGTGATGTCACGCATGGCTCCGCTTCCTTCAAGAGCTTTGGAGGGAAATACAATTTTTTGATTTTCTCGCATTTTGCAGAAAATTGCATGTTTCTCTTGTTTGTTCTTTTTTTCTGCATCAGGGACGTCAACACCACCATCATGGAGATGCTGATCATGGTGTACGCCTGCAGGACGTCGTGTGCGCGCAGCATCACCGGTGTCCTGCCCTACTTCCCCTACAGCAAGCAGTGCAAGATGAGGAAAAGGGGCTCCATCGTCTCTAAGCTCATCGCCTCCATGGTCTGTAAAGCCGGTAAGTATGAGAGGACTGGACCCTCACACACTGTCAAATATTCAATTATTGGATAAGTATTCAATACCCAAAATTCATCATGTACGACGTGAACACGTGTATGTATACAGGCCTCACTCACCTGATCACTATGGACCTCCATCAGAAGGAGATTCAGGGCTTCTTCAACATTCCAGTGGACAATCTGAGAGCGTCTCCGTTTCTGCTTCAGTACATCCAAGAGGAGGTAAAAAAAAAAAAAGTCCTAAATTGTTGTATCTGAAATGAAGGCCTTAAAATCTCTTAAGTTAATTTTAAAAAAGTAAGTTGGCCCTAAATATGTTACTCACAGGTCTTATTGGAAATTTTGTCTTGGCAGAAATAATTTTGCATATTCTATGTATTTAGTTTGTATTTATGTATTTGACTTTTCAGTCAGGCAAAATGTTGAATTAGACAGACATCTTCATTGTGTTATGTGACTCACTGCTAATATATCCATGCTAGATAGCTTTTTATATGTCTGCCATGGGTGGTGTTGACATTTATCGCCAGTTGGCTGGACGACGTTTGTATATTTCTTTGGAGATCTAGATCTTAAATTCCATTCATATTGGTCTCAGCCCAGCAAGAACAATACACTTGCTACAGTGACAACTCTTGTGACGGTGACAAACCTAACTATGATACTGTTTCATATTATATATATTTTTTTACATTTAAACCCTCAGATCCCCGACTACAGAAATGCTGTAATTGTAGCAAAATCTCCGGCTTCAGCAAAAAGGTAAGTTCTCCTTCATCTGCTGCTTAGAGTAGAGCTCGGGTTGTCCCTCTTTGTTTTACAATGACTTTACAGGCAAAAGTTGCAGTGTCTCTCATTATTCACATTATTTCATGGTATAACCACTAACCTCCATATATTTTATTGGGATTTTATTAGAGCTGCAGAATATATCTGCATGAACATCAGCTAATACCGATGTCAATACCAAGCGTTATTGGCTGTTAGCTTCTCAATGTTGTCAGAAAAGACCACCTGCAACTCGGGTAAAGCTACGTCGGAAATATCTACGACTGGGGACCATCGACGTAGTCTGAGTCTGATATCCTCAACGAATAAAAATGGTTGGTTATCCAGAGCAATGCGCTCCATCAGTTTCTGAGGAATGCCTTTTATCCTTGGGTGTAGTTTCTTGCTTTGAGAATGGACGGCTGGTGAGGTTTTGTTTCACTGCGGTTGACTGCTTCCTCATTTTCCTTGCCTCCACAATGTTTTGTCATGGAGTTGATGTATATTGGGGGTGATGTGCAGTGTTAGCTTTTATTTTATCTGTTGGTTGGAAAGTTCAATTTCGGTTTTATTTGAGCGTCTTTTTCAAGTTTGAGGCACCCCCTATGTGACTTGTGGGAAACTGCTTCCTTTCAACAATGGCTTTACACTTGCCACTTTGAATTTGACTAACTTTGAAAAGTCTCCAGTGGTAGAGGAAACTTTGTAAGTTTGTAGTCGACTTCTAAATGGAGGATGTTGTGTTGCTAAGCAGCCGGTGGCTGGTTTGATCTCTGCCTGGGGTTCAGGGCTCAGTCGTTCGCTGAACGACTGCGTCTCGGCATCGCAGTGATCCACGGAGAAGCTCAGGATGCTGAGTCGGACCAGGTAGACGGACGCCACTCCCCACCCACCGTCAAGACCACTGGAGCCATTCACCCGAGCATGGAGATACCATGTAAAGCACCAACTCCAACACCAACATCTCCATTGTTTAACTCTTCAGTATTTAACGTTGACATTGATTTGTGTCTGCAGTGCTGATCCCTAAAGAAAAGCCTCCAATCACGGTGGTGGGAGACGTAGGGGGACGCATCGCCATTATAGTGGTGAGATTGGCAGCAATCACTTGCGCCAGACTTGGCTTGATTTAAATTTCGAGCCAGTTGCATTGACTTGATTGTTCTGCAGGATGACATCATCGATGACGTCGATAGCTTCGTGGCGGCGGCAGAGACGCTAAAGGAGAGAGGGGCCTACAAGATTTTTGTCATGGCGACGCACGGACTACTCTCCTCGGATGCCCCGAGGTTCATAGAAGAGTCCGCCATTGACGAGGTCAGAGCTTTTACCTTGATGCGTCTTTTTGTTGCTGTAATGTCCTCCTTCATAGTTTCCTCCTCCGCCCTTCAGGTGGTGGTGACCAACACAATCCCCCACGAGCTGCAGAAGCTCCAGTGCCCAAAGATCAAAACGGTAGACATCAGCATGATCCTGTCGGAGGCCATCCGCCGCATCCACAACGGAGAGTCCATGTCCTATCTGTTCCGCAACATCGGTGTGGACGACTGAGCCACGCGTCACACTTTTTACGTGACTTTCTATCCCTGTGGGAACAATCCTTTAATATGTTGCATCTCCTTTCCCTCTCGCACTAACACAGCTTCAGAGCCAGAGGTTAATCTATTGGTTGGTTTGAGGTCAGGTTAGTGTTTATGCTGGAATACAAAACAAAATCCACTCTTGTTAAGCTATATTTATGTTTGTTCCTAGCTCATAATCCTGCACAGCCTAATTCTAACTGCTACCTTCAGGGTCTTTCTCTGACGACACAAGATGACGAATCCAATTTACAAACTACCCCAACTGACACACATCTGTTCTTCCTTAAACTATTCACACTCCTTGAGTTTTTCACATTTTGTCTTGTTATAGTCACAAACATCAGTGCATTTTATTGGGATTTGAATTGATAAACCTACAAAGTAAAGGAAAAATTCTATACATTTTGATACTTTCTGTCCCCACCACATGATGCTTCTGCTGCTACATTTCACTGTGTGGATGATGTGTTCAGAGTAATGTGTAGTGTTGATTTTCCACCTCATGTAGGTAAGATCAGAAAACATTCTTTTATGTCAGGACTTTGTTTGGCCATCTTTCAATGGTGGCTTTCTTCTTGACTTCCAAATTTCACACTCTGTTGCCCTTTTTCTCTTTTAAGTCCACGATCTACACATTTTTTACCCTCTCCTTATGGAAATGACCTGGACTTGGAGTGAAAGGTTGAAGTCTACTTACTAATATTTAAGAGTTGAACAGATAAATCGGCCCCAATTTCTTTAATTCTTTAATTTTAGGTGATTGGCCGATGAACCGATCTTATCTACCTCTGCAACGATCTGAAAACCAGCCACTGTCCCCTTAACAATAGTCACCCCACCTTTGCTGACTTAGCAACTTTGTCGCTATATTTAGCGACTTTTCAAAATCATTATCAAATCATTCAGAAAATTGTAATCGGTGCACCCCTAATTGTTAGACCTCAGATCTACATGAGATCATCAAAGATGCATGTCAACGGTTTGTTGCATCTCCAGGATTGTGAAACGAGTGTAACCTGGTGATGTTGGGCAAATCAAAGATGGCATCCCCAGAAACCAGACACATGACTTTTTGTGGGCCTATTAAAGCTGCAAGCTCTGACAGCACACAGGTGGAATACAAACGGAAAAAATGCTTTTCTGTTTAAGTTTGCAAACATTGATGTTTGAGGTTATAATTTGACAGAATGTGGAAAAGCTTACTCATTGTATATGGATTACTGCCTAGCCTTCCACTGTCTAAACACTTCATTATCTTCCTTAATTGCCTTCTATATTTTTTCCACTCCAAAAATTAATGTAAAACATTTGTACTGTCAATTTTTTTTTGCAATTTGATGAGTTAGAGGTTGTACTGAGAGTCGGTGCCTTCTGCAGGGGTTTGAACACAAGCCTTCACGGGTTCGCTGCATATCTGTTAATGTCACTGATTGCTTATTGAAACTGCTGGATTATGCAGGTTGAAGCTAATTAACCGATGCTGAGTATCTTTCAATTTAAATGTCTGTTTTTTTTTTAAATAAATTTTTTCAGGTTGATTGATAGTTTAGCTTCCAGTTAGCCATATATCTGTAGTTGCCATAGAGTTAGATTATGATGCGTCAAATGTTTTTATTTTTTTAAATTTAACTGGAATTGACAGAAACTTTTTCAAAATTCTAACTGGAAATCAGATTTAACAGTCGATCACCTGTGTAACGTTTTTCATTGATAATCCATATGAATCATCGTGCCATCATTACAGCGCTTCCATTTAATGTTGGGTTCTGCCATAAATGAGCAACATTTGTTGGTAAATCTGAGAAACTTAATTGTCTTTTACATTTTTTATTATTATTTTTAGATTTGAAGGTGAGAATAAAATAATGTTACATATGATGGTCAGAAGTGTTTTAATGATGATGAAATGGGTAAATACTTGATCCTTGGATCTGTGTGGAGGAGATGAGTTTAGTTTGTTTTAATAGGAGATGTTCCAAACTGGAGCTGGAACTGATAAACAGGCTTTTCTTCTGACACACAAAGCTTGACTGAAGCAGGTCTTTGTTACCTTGCCCAATGTTTCAAAAAAAAAAAAAGTTTTTGTATTTATTTTCTGCACCAAAAAATGAATAAACATGTTCTAAAAAGAAAGCATGTAGTTTTGTGTTGACTAAAAAACTTGTAAAAGTGCACAGGGGGTCTCTCCGAACCCCTCGAGAACGGCGCACGAGGAAAGGCGGTCGGGTCTACTCGACTTTCTCTGGGACGGCGCGCAGGTTGACATGTTCCTGTTGTCTTGCAATTCTATAGTTACTGGCGTAATGGGATGAAATAATGTGTCCATATACACGTCGAAGTTCTCTTGGTAAAAAAGCTCACGCTCACCAGAACAAGCTCACAGGGACTACAGTAGTCAACACAGCTGTCCCTGGTTCGATTCCAGCTGTTACAGCAAAATCTGTGACCCATAATTTTCTGTGACCGCAGGCGTAACACGGGGCTTCAATGTTTTGGCCACAGGATTAGGCTCCACATTTATCTTACAGTAATAATGGTATTAAAACTTAGTAAATAATTATAAATCTTTAATATTAAATAGAAACAAGTAGATAATGGTATGCATTTTAAAGTGTTTAGAACAAAATGTTTAGCCTGTTTGCCAGCAGCACTCAAGTTGGTAGCACTTGTTGCCTCGCAGCAAGAAGGTCTTTGGTCCATATCCTGGCCTGGTCTTAATAGTTGCCTGTTCTCCTTGTGTTCTCTCCTGGTACTCCGGCTTCCTCTCGCCTGGTGACATAGGTATTTAATTCAATGGAAAACAGGGAGAAGCTTCATTTTCTTCAGTTTATTGTTTTCAATGCAGACATGAGCAATGGGCAGACAATGGGGTAATGGCCGACAGCATCAGGTAAAACATGTAAAGGCTTCATAGAGGCAAAAGCAGCATGTTAAACTAATACATCATAAAAAGGCAAACTGATCACTTTCTGTGTTTAGACAAACCCAAAGTGACCACGGTTTTGGTGATACAACAGCTATTGTACAGCTCACATTAGTTCAAAATAGAGATGAAACTGTAATAAAAATACTAAAGACATAATAGGACTCAGGTGAGTTTCTTATGGCTGATTTTTCGTTCTATTAAAAACAAACAAAAAGTCTTTCAAACAAGCTTGTTCCCATCCAGTTCGACTGATATTTAAACATACTGCAGGTTTCTTAACAAATACTTGGTGTAAATAGTTACAAAATCTGATTCGTGTACGCCGTATACAGCAGGTGTGGAGTTTTCAAACAAAAATATGAAGCTCAGTCCTGTTTTTTCTAAATTCGACCAAATGTTCATTGCTTAATCGTGACACCTACAGTCTGAACATATAAATACTAATAAAATCTCTGCTGTGAGGATATAATGTAAACATGTGTATTTGATATTTGTATTGTAAGATTTTTGAAAATGAGAACTCCTTAATGGCATATTTATGATGTCCAGATATTTTTCTGGATGTAAAACAAAAAGAAACAACATATTTAATTAATTTCTAACTGAAACAATATGGGCCCAATTTCATTTCTTACTGTACTAACAGTAATGTGTCCTAATCAAAGCTTGCCAGCAAGCTGCACTGTCTCAATAAACACAGTCATGAATGAATTCAGACAAATAAGAGACAAAAACCTGCTGCTCTCAGTGACAGCAACTCAATCTACCGTTTCTATACTGTCCTAAAGCACCGTTTAGACCATCCACACAAATAACTAATCTCCAGTGGATACCATTAACATCTGAACAGTTAAATATATAATTGTAAAAACATACAGAATACTGTAACAGCAGTGTTACAAGGCCGATTAGTCTATTCTCAGCATTTAAAAAGCAAAGTGACTCACTTTCCAAACAAGATTTTAAAAACTCCTAGCATCTTTTAGCATTTACCCAAGCAAAGATGTGATTTATTTTTGAACAACCATGACAATAAGTTTGATACACCATCAAAATCCCCCTAAGAGATCTTATTTCCTATTTTAGGCAGCTGTCACTGACTCAAACTCTGTAGGCTGAATACTGGCACAGGGAGCATCTAATTTTTGGTTAACGTTTGTTTGCACAGAATTTTCTGGATGATAAACTTGGTGCTTTATCATGTTAAAGTGTACCCACACTATTGTGACCCAGAAGTTAAACCACTATGCACTGTTAGCTTTATTTCTAAAGCTAATGAGGATTTAGAAATTAAGCTAAACCTAGGTTTTACTAGCTAACGGTTAAAAGGTACTATTTGTTCAAATATAAATATAATGTAATATTTAGACGTCCGTTAGCATAAGTTTTTACCAGCTAGTGGTTAAGAGCAATTAGTGTTTCAAATATGAATATAAAAAACATAGTTAGAAACCTGTTACCATAAGGTGTTACTAGCTAAAGGCTAAGGACAATTACGCATTCAAAAAGTGATTTTTAGGTGCCTGTTTACACAATAAGGTTTTGTTCGCTGATGGCTAAGAACGCAACTTAAATGTGAAAGTAAAGTAACTGTTAGATGTTATTTTTGTGAGAGCTGCAGTTTGTACTTGTTACCCTTACAAAAGTTCGTCAGAATGAAATTATTCGCTACTAGCATGTTTGTTTTGTAGCAACCTACAGGCTAGCTAAGCACAGTTACATGCAGGAAATCAACATGGCATGCTGAAATATAAAATTTACAGAATTGAAGAAGAATTGAAATATTCTGCACTCAGGGCAGTGAGACCTTACATATTCTGTAAATCAATTCACCTTTTTGGGGGAACAATTTCAAATTGTTTTTAACATTAAAAGTTCAAACACTGAAATGTCTGTTACAGTATATTCAAGTCTGTTTTTAAAAATTGTAATGAATTTGACATTTTTAACATCAACATGTAAATGTTACCAAAAATGTAAATGAAATACTAAGCTTTTCAAAAGTGATAGATTTCCAGAGTAGGTTTTGTTGAGCAGTCATCTTAAGTTCTTGTAGTAATTTACACAAGTCAATGATTATTTTCAACAAGCAAATTAATTTGGATCTGTCAGAATATAACGTGAAAAACATTTAAAAAATGTCTCAAGTGTCTCTGAAAAGAATGGCAGTTTAAACATGTATTTAAAAAAAAATCAATAAGATGATCAATAAAATTGTGTTATTCTTATATTTTTGCATTACAGTTTCTTGGACGAACTGATCGTAACACTCTGCTTAGCAATAAGCAAGTCACCTGGGTTAACATACCCACAATGCCCTGTAAATAACTGAAGAATTATTTTTAGAATTAGCAAACCTAAAAAGATTACTTTCTAATGAACAACTGTAATATTTCTAAAATGGAAATTGTTTAATTATAGTAGAAATTTGCTTTGTTTTTGGGTCAACTTTTACTAACTCAGCTTTCTCTTTCATCAAAGTCAATAAGCTAAGAGAATAATCTATTACAGGTAAGATATTGATAGCTTATAAATCTCGATTAGAGCACTAGAACACCAAAAACCCAACTCAGCATGGGTCAGCATGGGACCAACTACTATGTGGGCTCACAATAGGCTTCTTCTCATATTGGACTTATTTGGGTTATTGGTATTTAATACTTTTTGGATAAGGGTTTTTAAAACACGAAATATCATATAAACATGTTGTAGATAGTTCTAAAAATATCAAGACCTAATTAATGCTTTATTATGCTTATATGGTTTTTTTGTCATAACATCAAATAAAGTCTGAAGGTAATCTACAGTTCCCCTTCCAGAACACTGGCATTTTAATTTTTCTTTTAAGAATCAGAATAATTTTATGACTTTAAAAAACTAGATTAAAGCAGCTTTGTAGAAGTCAGTAAAAACAGTACAGGAGAATATTGTTCAATAATTTTGTTGATTTTGTTTTGTTCAAACCACAAAAGCGTGAAACACTGAAAGTTAAACTTTTTTCCCCCACAACCAATCATTTGTTTTAAAACAATTGTTAGACTCCGAAATGTTTGGAGCAACTTAAATATCCCCGTCAATGTGTCACACAACAGTCTAAAGCTGCATTTCCATTGACCGTACAATTGTTCAAATTGGAAATGTGAAATGAAAACACTGCAATTTTGGAAAAAAGAATAAAAAAAACTTTTGCGCTAGGATGAGGTGTTTTTTTTTTTTTAAACGAATTACCACATAAACTAACTTATTAACGTGTGATTGCTTGGGAACCACAATTAAGAAGAAGAAGAAGAACCTGTGATTTTAATTGCGTTTCTCTCTATAGAAACACCTTGAGAAATTCTGGGGGGTTTTCAACATTGACGGAACAATGTCAACAAAGTTTTATGCACATTTGTACTGGAAACGCAGCTTCAGAATGCCACTGCGCTCGGCTTCCTGAAACCCAATACTGATCTGCCCCTGCAGCAGCTAAAATAACCATCTTATGTAAACGAACTTGGAGCTGGAGGTCCGGCGCGCCTGCAAAGCCCACAGACAGTGCAGACAGCATACGACATGAGAAGCTCTACCCGCACAGAATAGAACGCTAACACCCTGTTTGCCACTGATGTAGATAGAAAAAGAGGTGAAACGGAGGAATATGAAGCATCATTCACTCATGGCACTGCCTCGTTCTAATCTTCCAGATCCAACCAACCTGCCTAAGCTAGTTAAAAGCTTTTAAATAAACGAGTAGAGAGTATATACACCACCTCCATTCAGATCTTATGGTAGACACACTGTCAGCTGAAGGAGGGAAACCACAGACATGGGTTTCCAAGGCTCTCTGCAGTTTCACAGGTTTGGATGAGAAATGTGTCTTTCAGTTTTTTTTTTAATTTTTTTTTTTTTTTATTGTATTTATTACTTAACTACCAGCGTTCTGTTGGCTTTTTCCTTTTAAACATTGTGTTCCCTATCAGGATTCCTTGTCTGGTCATCGGCCAGTTCCACCGCTCTTCGTCTCAGTAGTCGTTGAGTCCATTGATCGACGCCAACGAACAGAAGAACAACTCGTCCTCTTCGTGAGGAAAAAAAAAGAAGCAAACTGGTGGTTCGCTGAGTTCAAAAAGCAACAATCATTTGTCCTCTGCTCCATTTTGTTCTGCATTCATGCCCACCGTCTATAAAGCACTTTGTGACGAGCCTGGGTATTAAAAGCGCTTTTTTTTCCTCCTTTTTCTTGTTTTTTTTTTTTGTTTTAAACGAAGTCAGTTGAATTATAATTAGAACCTGGAAAGATACCGTTGATGACGAGAGGGGGAAAAAAAATCCACAGATGTGGTACAAGTCAAGTGATTGTGATTTTAATTGATTGCCAAGCTGGTTGACAGGAAGACACACAAGAGGAGGATTCCGGTTATTACCGGAATCCTACAGGATTCCGGTAATAACTGGAATCCTGTACAGGTGGTGGTGTACAGGTGGTGCATTCTGGGAGGGGATGAGGGGCCGCGTCCTCCTCAGCCTCTCTTTTACGATTGCCGCTTTTAGTTTTTTTAACAGGTCTGTCCGTGCAGCAGATGGGTAGTTGGAATTTAATATGGCCCTGGTCCGAATGAACGCTGAGCACCCCCTCTTCTGGTCACAGATAGGAGGTAGGACTTAGCAGCAGCTTAGGGTGGTGAAGGGCTCTTCAAGGCATCCACTTTGGTCTCCAGGTCTGTAATCTGTGGGAAAAAAACACACAATATAACGTTAATTCATTTGTAGTCAAATGAGTACTTTAGCCTAACAACTTTTTACATTCGTATTGAGTTGGTACGACAGGTTTGCTCATAAAAACCAAAATAATGCAACAACAAATATAACAAAAAGAAGGAAAAGATTTCTCCTAAGCACAACTGTGAAAAATGTGAAATATCTAATCATTTGTTCTAGAATCGAGGGATTTGTCCTTAGTTATGCTCCTCATTGGGTAGCAATCCACTCATACACTAATCACTGATGTTTATAACTTTGGTTCCTATTTAAGCAAATTATTAAGTCAAGTCAATCAATTTCACTAAAGATAAAAACATGGATGATTTTGTCTAGATCTTGACATTAGTCCTCTAATCCTGGAAATGTTTTGCAGGTGATCAAAGGCCGACTTTGTAACTGTCTTTATGTGGCTCTGAAGGGTCAGGTCAGAGTTCATCACTACCCCCAGATTTTAGGCCTGATCTCTAGTTTCCAGCTGTGATAACTGAATCTGTGCGTTCTCTCTAGATCATTCCTCTCTGTGGGTCCAAAGACAGTTCCTGTTTGGCTGAAGACGTTCCGACGAATCCACACCTTGATTTGTTCTCAGCACCTGTTCAGGATGGGTTCATAGTCACCTGGTGAAAAGTTATCTATTGACAATGAGGTTTCGGTCCCTGACTTTTTGAGTACAAAAATAATCTATCAATTGTAACCCACTTTGGTGGACGTTCTATCGAGTTAGGAAAGGGGAATATTTTGTTAAAAAAAAAAAACGTACAGCGCAACATACGCTTGTCTTGTATATTTATTACAAGACAACAGTAATTCTCAGATGTGTAGCACAAAGCTAAATGACTTGTTTAGCTACTAGTTTTTGTCATAATTGTGTCAAGGCTTGTATAAGATTTAGTGATGTAAAATAACTATCCTGTTGAAAAGTGGACAGAGAAGTTACCTCCAAGCATTCATGGTTTTATCTAACTCCAAACCATCCACTTTGTAGAGCACAGAGGAGATCAACATGTCTGTTCAGTAACCATGGTAACCTCTAATGGAGCAGAAAGCCTCGCAGTTTAAGCAGGTAATACAGCAGGTAATATGCTATATTGCCACTCTATAAAGATGCTTCAGTTTATGTATCAAACAAAAAAAAATAAAGAAATGTTAATAATATGATTATAATTAATAATTAATATGCTAAATAAAGTTTTGCTGTAATCAGAGTAATAAGTTATAATAATATCACAGTAATATGATATGCCAAACCCTTTTGATGCCTGTTACAGCCAGTGATGGTTTCTGATAACACGGGCAGTTGCCCAGGACGCTATTAGGAAAGGGTGGCAGGGGCGCAGGTTACATGACTGAGCTGAACTTTCCAAATCTTGATATCTCGTTGGGATGTTTGTATTATGGAAGCAGGCATAGAGATGAGAAGATGTAGCACTAACAGGGAACAGCACGAGCCGGCTAACAGCTAGCATCGCTACATCCGTAGAGGGAATGGAAGCCAGCGTGACAAACACGCAGGTCACCAACCTTTTCCTGCAGGTTGTCTGTTTCTTCTTTGTGTGTCGCCTCGCTCTCTTCTTGTGCACGCCGCTGATCGGTCTCCTTCTTCAGGTACTCGACTTCCCTACAAATCACAAACACACATTCATGTTTAACTCTATGCTCAATACCAGCACATTTTACCATTTAAACCATTTAAACTCCACTCCGTTTTTTTTACTTCTCTTACTTTTGCTGGTATTCTTTAATCATTCTCTTGGCTTTGTTGTATTTCCTCTCGAGGGTTTGATACTGGGCCTGGGTTTCTTTCAGGTGTTCATCCACAGCCTAAAAACACATGCTTAGTGTTTAAATGGCCAGAAACCAGCTTTCACTGGACAAGGGAGCTCTTATTATTATTATTATTATTTTTTTTTTCATTTATTCTCTATGAAATTACCTTACACAGGGATTGTGCCTCCATCCAGTAGCCCTCGAGCTTCTCCATCCTCTCCTTGCTGTCTCTGATGTTTTGCTCCAACTGAGTGCGCTCCATCCGCCAACGCAACTTATCCTGCTCCGCATGAGCCAGCTGGAGGTAAGGGGGAGTCATTGTGGGAGGGAGGAGGTGGTACGTGGGTGGGAGAGCCAGCGTTAAGTCATTGTTGAGAACAGACAGAGATGTGTTTTCTCTTCTGTACCACACATTTTTTTTTTTGTAACCCATCCTGTAGAAACGAACTGAAAACAAAGCGGGCTCACCTTCCTCTTTAACAGCTGGATCTCTGCCTGTGTTACTGCATGTTTAATCTGGAGCTACACCAACAAAAAAGATAGCAGGACGTTTGGTTTTAGCTCAGAGCATGTAACAAACCCAAAAGAGTAAAGTCTCTCTAAGTAAAAATTTGAAGTAAACGTCAGTAAAATTGTTTGCTGAAAACCAAACGCACCTCCTTGAATTTGTGGGCCAGTTTCTCAGGATCCAGCTCCACGGGGGACAACGTGTCCTGGTTCTCCGCCAGGTCGAAAACTTCGATGGAGTTTGGAAACATCGGGCTCATCTCCTCTTCCTCGTCTGTAGCGTATTCGCCAGTCTGTCCACAGACGGAAGGCAAATAAAATACATTTAGAAGCATAAAATGAGAGAATAGAGAAGAAAACTGATGATGACAATCATTTAACTGCTAGCTAGTAGTCCTGCAAAGTCTTGTAAGTGTTATGGGCTGAATCTAAGTGACATTTTTCTCTGACTTGAGAACGTCAAACACAATGTGGCGGCGTCTCAGTTAAAAGTAGGAACAGCAGCGTGGTTTGCTGGTTGCTTTTCTCAGTTACTATAATCTGTATTAGCAATAAAAGCTAACAAACAACGTATTCAAGCACCAAAAGGACCATGTTAACTGAAACTGAACAGTAAATTGTTTGATTAATAAGATACTGTTATCTCAACTTTCACTATGTTGGATACACATGACAGCCATATTGGAATCCGGAATGTAGGCTGGTGAGAAACCTTTTACTTTTCAAGTTGACTAATTGTGACAAATTCAAGAATTTTTTTGTTTAAAAAAAATTGTATTATTGGAAGGGAGTTTTATGTAGTTTGAACAACAAAAAGTGTAACAAAGCTGTATATTGAATGTGAATATTCAAGAGAAACACTAAATGTAGCCAGAGCCTTCAAGGTAAAGAATCCAAATGATTAATGGAAATCTCCCGACCATTTATCTTGTTTTTTTCTGCTCTACATCACAAAGTAAGTTAGTCTTACATTAACAGGCTGTATTGAACAAACTAACACAATTGCAATCAGCTTACAAAGCCATGATGTTATCATCATAATGGATTTTCAGCTCTGCTTACACTTCTGTATTGACACAAAGACAACCTTGATATCAGCGCATTTATAGACCACAGCAAACAAGAAGTCTATTAACGTCTTTTTCACACCAAGGATTAATGTCTAGTATTAATGGCTATTATTAGGAATTTTAATGTATTTATGGCAAAAATGGCTAAAAAAAACCTTCCAACTTTGTTTTTTTTTTGTTTGTATTTTCTGTGAATACAAATGAATTTATATGGAATTTAACAGTATTTAAATATCTGTTTAGATGATAACAAAATGTATCTTTCTGGCCAATATGTGGAAAATCTAACACTGCATGTGACCCTGAACGCACCGTCCTCACAGTTTCTGTCACAAAAACTATACTTGTCTGAAAGTAGCCCAAATTAATAAGTAAAAACCACAACATAAACAGATAAAAATATGTAAAGTACATATTTTTCTTTTGTGTTCCCAAAAAATATTAGGTGCACAAATAATCCTCGATTCTCTTTCAACAATCCATTTCATTTCCTTCCACCATCCAATTTACAGCTGAGTTATGCAGGAATTACTTGACTAATTCATAAGGAAAACGAGCGAGCAGATGGAGCTATTAAACACATTTTTAATACTTAACTGTAATTTTCTTGGCATCAAATAACAAAGGCAATTTATATGCTAATTGAAAGGCTTCTGTTCCCTTTTCTGACCACAAGGTGGAGAAGTTAGACTGAGAAAGGACAGGCCATGTGGTTGCACACAGACGACATTTTGTCTCAACACAAACACACACTGAAAGGACACTTCTGATTTCCTGTGGTTACGTGAAGCTGCAGCAGCACAGCTGACAATGCGCTCTGTTTTTTGTTCTTCAGAAATACAGACAGAAAAAAACCTGGACAAGTTATCTAAGCTGTACTTTTTTTTTTTTCAATAAACGCTTCGACGTGCTGCCTGTCTCCCCCCCTACCTCTTCGTCGTCGTCCATGTACTGTTTGTATCTCTGCTCCATCATCTCTCTCTGCCATCTCTCCTGCTCCAGAGTCTGCTGGATCAGCTGAGCCACTTCGCTTTGCTCCCCCGGCTTTTCCCTGCCAATAACAAACCTAAAAAAATAAAAAATAGTAATAATTTAATCCACACATATGAATCGTGAAACTCCTTTATTAGCTTCAAAAATTAAAAACATGAGTTCACAGAAAGCAAATGCGACTGACTTGACTGTGCCTGATGTGTTGCGGAGGACAGAGGCGGCGAAGCTCTGGGTGACGCCAACCAGACTGGTCCCATCGACCTCCACTATCAAATCGTTCACCTGGATCCTGAAAGCACAGCAGAAATAAACTCACTGTATGCAGTCACAGAACCACCTTAAGTCCAAACCGTCAGTGTCTAAGTTCCAGTATCAGAAAGGAAGTAAGCTGTAGAGAACAGTTTCAGTGACACCAGAGGCCAACAAGACTTGAACTAAAACTTTAGTTTAACTGACGTTTATAGAGGCTTTCAGAAATAGTAATACCTTAAGTCCAAAAAGGTCAGTAGAATTTATTGGGACTTTATGTAATAGGCCAACACAATTTTGCAAATGTGGTGTTTCTATTAAGTGAAAAGTTTAATGAAAACCACAGGTGAATATGCTTGTTTCTATTAAACAAATTTATTTTCAAAATTTGAATTTGCAAAATTTTATGGTTAATGGCAACACACTAGCTCCTCATTCTGTGCTTTGCTTCCTGAAGCCGTGGACTCTGTTGAAGTTTTAAACGATTGGATCTGATTTTACTCAGTTCTAAAGTTTAGCTGTAACGTGATGCACCAGCTATTCTATGAACCTTAAAGGAAAATGCCTTCCCACACTCAGCAAACAGAGACTTACTGAACATCATTTTTGCCAGTAATAAAATGTCCTAAACATTCCTCTCTCTCTGACTTTAATTGCTCAATATTTGGAGGTGTGGCCAACACGGACTGAATGGCTTTAACTTCTTTTTCCTGCCATTGCCAAACTACAACCTTAAACAGGCAGACTACAATTCTAAAACAGCACAAAAAAATGTACATCATCATTCACAACTCCTTCTGTTCGCTTGGTTAAAATTCTATGTGAGAAATCGAGTTCAATGGAAGAAATCCAAGATGGCACACTGAAGGGAGATGAGAATCAAGCAAAATTGGATGAGAAGGCAATGGCCAGGCTAACAGAACCATGAAATAGAAATAAAATGATACATGGAAAAGTTTAATAAAAATTTAAAAGGAGCAGCATTAACTAACTGTTTAGTTTGATACACCTGAATGAATTCCATGAAAATTACTTGTTAGAAGTTGGAAATTATTCAAGACTGGGTTTTTTATTAGCGAAAAATGCTCAAAAACTTTCATCTTTGTGAATCCACTTCACCATTACGCAGTGCTTTGAGTTACTCCAAAACACAAAATTACAATACAATAAAGCATCTAAGTTTGTGGACATACGTGACAAATCGTGGAAAAGTTCACGTGCTCTGAATAGTTTTGTAAACCACTGTAAACATCATTTTTCCAGTCAGCCTGTCGATACCATTCTAGTCGAAACAAGTATCAGGGCGAGTACAGACAGGTGGGCAGCTTACCTGCCGTCTCTGTGAGCAGCTCCACCCTCTGTGACAGTTTTAACGAAGATCCCCAGCTTCTCCAGGCCCATGTCCGCTCCTGCTCCCATGCCAATGATACTGATCCCGAGGCCGTCGCTGTCTGAAGGGAGCAAAGACAAAAACACAGCGACACAGTGACGAATCTCCTGCTTTACTTCTTCCTTTTGTTTAGAAGTACATGGTATCTACTAAAAAGTTAGCACATTAAATAACTTCAAACAGCTGATCCATATACTTGTTTTCCAGTCAGCATGTACTTGTTTTGTCGAAACAAGTACATCAAAAATTTGGAAAAATTATGAAGCACGTCAGACCCATTGTGTGAACAAACAAGTACCACCATGAAGTAATAAATTTGATGAGCTCTAAGGAGAAGTTACTGAAATTATTCTCAGTTTCTATCAGTGTGATTCATTGTTTTTAGAATGTCTCTTCTGTTCAGAGAGGTTTGTGGGTATTTGTTTCTGCACATCCCACCACAGCGTTTCAATCAGCCTGAGGTCATGACTGCAGCAAACTCATTGCAACAGCTTATTTAGTTTTTTAAACCTGACTGTTCTAAACAGAACTGTGGTTCAATGGGCCTAATTTTAGCCAAGCTGTTGTATATTAACCTTTATTATTCTCTTAACCTTATTGCAGGCAAGGTAAAAACATTTAGTGTTCTTAAACAATTTCCTCCTTTAGTTTTTGCACATATTGAAAACTGTCCCTTCCTGTTGAGCTGAAGTTAAACCTTACTATTTTGAGAAATGATTTTTTTTAGGGCAAAATTATTTTTTCTATGTCCTGAATCCTGCCACAAAAAGGTATATCTAATTTTTAACATTACTGCGTTACTCACACATGCTTGTAGATACCAAATTTACTTTGCTAAATGCTGGTGTTGTATTTAATATGCTCCATATGTTAGCGTTCCAGTTATTATGCTAATGTATGTAAATATTGTAGCTACTGTGGTGATACAGGTTAGCATTGTATTTTATTATTTTTAAGCCTGTTAGTATTGTGGCTATTATGCAAAAAAGTGTCCTGATTTTAGCTAGTATGCTAACAGTATTGTTGCCATCATACTGACAATTGTTAGCAAAATATGCAAATACATGAATGGTAGTATTGTAGTTAATATACTATTAAGAGGTAGTATTATAGTTACTATGCTAATACAGTTAATTATAATAGCTAATATATGAATAAATATTAGTATTCTAGCTGTGATGCTGATACATGTTAGTATTGTATTTATTATGCCACTAGTAATAAACATGGCAGTTTTCTTTTTATTACTTCCCTATATTGTAGCTACTACACTAAAACATGTTTAGCTACTACGCTAATACATGATAGCACTGTTGCTATTATGTTAACGCTTGTTAGTATTGTAGCTAAACAGGCTAATATATGCTGGATTCATGATTACCATGCTACCATGCTAGTATATGTTAGGAATTGTTGAACTATGTGTTAATATTGTAATTATCATGTAATTATCATGCTAAAACATTAGCATTTATTAACTATTATAGGTACATCACTATTACACATTAGTATTCCAGCTACTATGTTAATACATATTAGCAATGTAGCTTTCATGTTATTACTTGTCAGACTTCATAGTATATAAAGCTACTATACTAAAACATTTCGGTATTGCAGTTGTCAACATCTATTAGTACTGTAATAAATATTGCCGATACTTATTAGTATTGTATTTAAAATACTTACATACATTGCTGTTATATCTAATATTACAAACTAGCCATCACACATACCAGCTGGTTCAAATCTATTACCTCCAGAATGACTAGCTGCTAATTAGGCTAATCCACACAAACTTTAATCCCATAAGAAGATAAGAGTTACATGCAGACAGACAGTGTATGTCCTCTGAGAGAAACCTGCCAGTGTATCTGTGTGTGTATGTGGTGTGTGTAGTTACATAAGAGACTTGACGGAGTGACTCTTAGCGACTTTAAACATGTGTACAAACCTTTCTCCAGCTCAACAGGAAACAAATCCAGCTTCTCGACTCTCTTTTCAAGCTCATACTCGGCCGAGGCAGCCATGGGGTCAACGTCGTCATTGCGCCGGTCGTAGTCTTCATTAGAGTAGGTGGTGAAGACCTGAACATATGACAAAAGTTAAAGGTCAGGCAACTCAGCACTTTACTGAAATGTCAAAGAATAGCATTCTGTGTGGTTGAACTTTTTTGGCCTAAATGTGAACCACGACTTTTGTCCCTAAGGAAAGAGACAATGGTCAAAGTTAAGGGGAAAGATGCACTGGACACCGTCCAACAGGACTAGAATAGTTCCGATCAAAATATATTCAAGGGTTGGAATGACCCAGTCAAAATCCAGACCTGAATTAAATTGAGAATCAGTGATAACACATGAAAATTGCTGTTCATCAATGTTCTGGAGCTATTTTACAGTAAATAATGGTTTCAGCCAGTAGACATTCCCCTAAAGACTGGTGGAACGTAGTTCCACAATTTATTGGCTCTTGAGTATCTGAATATATACTTTTTGTAAAAATAAATTTGAAAAACCACGACTACACCATGAATTATGCTCTACCTTGTGTTGTTCAGTCACATAGAATCACAATATTACACATTGAAGATTGTTCTTATATCACAAGGAAAAGCAAAAAAAAAAACAGATATATAATAAAGAAATATATCTACATATAGACATATATACATATATGTATATAGACTTATAGTTATTTAAAGCAAGAAGTCACTTCCTGTTTCTTTTTGTAAATCTCACACTATGTGTGCCTTTCCTTTCACTGTACCCTCTCATTTGTGTTGCTATCTATAATTCCCCTCCCCCAACCCAAAAAGGTCAACAGCATCGGTTTCCCTGGTAACCATCTTGTTGATCACATGGCTGCATTTCGATGGAAGCCTGGCACATTTAGTGCCAATCTTGCAGTAGAAACATATATAAATTTATATATATATGTGTGTGTGCATGCGTGTGTGTGTGTGACAAAAACCAAAGACAGAGCTGAAGGATTTTATTGTGTGGGAGGTTTTTCTTACTGTATTATTTACGTTCCAGTGTGTGGAAGACACTGTCTCCCTCTCTGTCTCCCTCTCTCTCTCTTTTTTTGCTCTCTCTCTCTCTTTCTCTGCCTCTCTCTGTCACACACACACACCAGCAGAAACCGGGTCATAGGGCAGTATTGTTAGACTGCTTCCTGTTGTCACGCTTCCTTCCTGTTGAGTAACTTTAAAGCTGTGTAAATGCAAGAGCTTGTCTGTAATAGGGTCCTAATGTTCCCTGAAGACAAGCAAGAACAACTGAGTCAGCCTAAGAGAATAATAAAAACTAAAA